TTTTTTTTTTTTTTTTAGCAAATAAATGTGTAAATTGATTGAGTATGAATACACTGCATAAATTTTTTTCGTCTTTCTTTTTTTTTGAAATTCGATTGGTGAAAAATTTAGCGCCTGAAAGTGCTGGTAATTTGGAAGCTAGAAAAAAAAAAAAATCAGAAAATAAGAAGGTTCTAACACCATCTGTATCTTCAAAGTTTTTTTAGCTTTGAAAAACTTTATGATTATTGCATTAGTTCTGTACAATTTTATATTTGCTTTACATTCACGTTAACAAATTTGTACGCATTTACTTTTTTTGGCTTTTGCAAATTCGTTTTTTTGCATGCTTTTTTTTCTTTTTTCTCATTTTTGCCTATATTTTCACATTTCTTTTTTCTGCATTTGTTTTTTTTTTGTTTTTTTTGTCTAAGGGAAGAATAACTACAAAGAGAAACATAGAAGTCTAATTGGTTCAACGTTTTGACAGTTGACACTTCATTTAATATTCTCATGATTGCGGGTCTTTTGTTCCTTTTTTTCTCGCTTCAGTACTGAGACTGTGTGCTTACATCTCTAACTAAATATGTAGAAATAATAAATATAAATACAAATATATATATACATAAATATATCTGTGAATATGTCTTTTTTTCGTTTTTTTTTTTTTCTGTGAATAAATTCTTTTTAAAAAAAAATGCATGTGATTTGTTGACGCAAGCCTCATTACCGATTCTTCATCTGTTTAAATCCATTTGTGAAATCTAATCTGCACTGAAGAGGCTAACCCGAAGAACAAGAAGAGGAAGCTGAAAAAGAAAAAAAAAAAAAAAAGAAGAAGAAAACGTTTGTTTTTTATTTTAAAAAATGCAAGTGAAAAAAAAAAGTGAAAAAGAAAACAAGAAATTATGTTTTAAGATTCTTTGAACGTTGACACTGAAAAAGAGCAAAAAAAAAAAGACCTTCAAAACTTTAAAAATAGAAAAAGAAATTTGCTTTTCTTTTGCTTTTTTTCTCTTTTCTGTATCTTTTCATATCTTACCGCTTTTTTTTTTAGAAACCTTCTTATCATTCTTTTCCTCTTCTTTTTCTTCTCTTTCTTTTTTATCCCATTTTTTGCTTTCTGTTATTTTGGGGCATTGTTTCTTTTTTTCCGTTTCGGCCTTGTCGCTTTACGATATCGTTTTACCTGCAAAATCCAAATACAGAGAAAAAAGCCAAAAATAATACTATTAAATTTCAAAAAAAAAAAATTTTTTTTTGGTTGCAATTTTTCTTTTTTCAAATCATTATTTGTTCTTTGGAGTATTAATTGTTGCTGGGGTGTAAATGGAAAATTGGCTGAGGATGATGAAAGGGATAGTAAGAAAAGATTGTTTTTTTTCCCTGTTCAAGATAGCGATTTTGGCTT